TGGGAACCTCCACTAGCTAAAACAAAAATAAAGAAAACATTAAGGGCAATCAATAGCCAATAGAACAAAAGCAATAAAGCTACAGTAAACAGTAAAATGCCCCTATAAGATGCATACCCGTCAATAAACATTAGAATCATGAGCATATGGATCAATTTTAGCCTGCTTGAAATGTTATGAACTCTGTGCTGGTGAACGCTTTTCAGAGTTGAGTTGCCATGGCATAAATATCCCTTTCCTAATCAGCATCACAAATAATTTATCTTAGGAAACCATGAGGGTGTGTCAGGACCAACCCAAGATTGTCCACTGTTTACCATGAAGAAAAACAGAGAACTCCTTCTCCTGTGATCATGTTTGAGTGGATACAATGGAATATTACTTTACTATCCACACTCTTCAGAGTAGGAAGCAATTGTAGAGAGCTCTGTGCTCACCACTGTTTTCCAATACTAACCCATTGCTCCACCTCAGCAGCCACCACTTCTACTTAATGACTAGGCCAATTCTGGCACCATTGTTCTAACCCTTTTCAGACTCAAAAAGAGAAAACCAAACCTTCGAATTGTGCCCCAAACCAGAGGGGCAGTAGGGACTGATCGTTCTTCAGATGGTACCATTTCAGCATACAGAATTATTGCCATGAAAGTCATATGGAATAGCAGCACTTAAAATGCCCTTCTGAGGTTGGTTTACTCAGGTTTATGATCAATTTCCTTTCGGTTCAATAAACAACTGGTTCTTATTCATTACAAAGGCACAGTATGGGTTCTAAGAGGCTGAGAGGGGCCCCTCTTTGGTTTTTGGGACATTTCAAGTCCTCTGTGAAATACAAATCAAGAGGAAGCACACTATAATTCAGACAAGACAAAACAAACATGGTAAAGAGAAAGAAAGGAAGAAAAGAAAAAAAGCAAGGAAGGAAGGAAGGAAGGAAGGAAGGAAGAAAGAAAGAAAGAAAGAAAGAAAGAAAGAAAGAAAGAAAGAAAGAAAAAAAAAGAAAGAAAGAAAGAAAGAGGAAGGAAGGAAGGAAGGAAGGAAGGAAGGAAGGAAGGAAGGAAGGAAGGAAGGAAGGAAGGAAGGATGGTGTGCATTTTGGTGTGCATGCACATACATGAGAGAGTCAGAAAGCCCAGCAGCCAAATAAATCAGAAGAAATGTGAATGGCCTCCGGAGAGCTCTCCCTGCACCCGCAGCCTACTCAGCTGAGAGATATTCAACATCACCCTACTCTATTAGTTACTGAATATTTTATATCTGGCTACATTCGCTCCATTTGTATTCTGCATCTCTCTTTCATCATATGCATTATAAACGAGCAGTGTCTGGAAACTCTCTCTGGGAAGATTTGCCTGGATGGCTATGGATATTTTATAGTCAAATTGTGGAGAGCAAACTAGCTTTCTGAGTTGTGCTGTGAAAATCAGGAAAGAAAAAAAGGTCATAAACTGGTTATTAAAAAAATAAATACATGTCAGACTGTACAGCGTTCTCCTTCCATTGTGCAATGAGATTCAGCCGCCCAATGATGGGGAATGGTGATATGCACATGATAAATCTGAGAAAAGGACAGTATGATTTGCCAGGCTGGGTTTGTTCAAAAGAGTTGAACAAATCAGTCCCCTGTCATTTTATCTTTGTTACAAGCCTGCAGCCAAATTCACATTTCATGAATGACAAAGATGTGTTGTTAGACTGGAGTAAGCAACTGTTACCTCCAGATGTTTTGGATTACATCAGTGTAGTTCAACAAAATCCAGTAAGCACTGGGGTGTCCAGCCCGTTTTCAGAACTGGTATCTTTTTCTCTTAAAACATAATTTACACATACTAGTTCAAAGAGTTATAGGATAATAAGAAGCATGATTTTTATAGTCAGAATTGGTAGGAATTATGTTTATCTCATGCTAATTGAAGCCATTACTTGAACAGTGAAACTGCTGTAACAACTTTTTGGCACTTATCACCTCAAGCAATTGCTGAACAAGAGGCAAGTGATCATGGCAAACTATCACTTGTTTGGGCACTCTCACTCAGTTTACTGAAGCATTCTGTCTTGTTAAGAAATATACGTTAGATTTAGTCCAGATGTGCTCAGACGTTAAAGAAAAATCATTAGAAAGTGATGTCAGAACTAACAGAATAGAGGGAAGGCAGGCTTAAATACTGGGATTCTTAATCATTTATTTACTCTTCCTTTGGTATATGCCACAGCCAGTTGCAAAAATCTAACCAATCTTGATTGATCCCCAACAGTTAACCACTTGGATGGAAGGCCACCAGAAAACCCTGGACTGTGGGCTAGATTAGGAAGCCGAAAAACAATCATCTAAGAAAAGGCAATGGCAAAAAAGCTTCTCTGTGGCTGCCAAGAAAACCACACTGAAATCTCCAAGCAACCAGAATATCAACTTTGATTCAAGAAAGATTTTTCTTTAACCTTAAGAACCCTCAGGGATTTCTCAAAACATCATAACAAAACAATGCAGTACCTTGTGCAAATTTAAGATATCCTTGGAGTTGCTTGTGGGAAATGTAGAAATGTCTAAAGCTTCAGTGGAGGAACTAGCAGTGTTCTAAAGAGGTTTGGAAGATGATGAAAACTCCAGAGTACAAGTGGATTTGGGTGGGTGAAAAGATACATAAATATTTTTCTGGTTTTCTTAGTTATCATATTCAAAACTAAATATGTTATTACACTGAAATGGTCCAAAGTAATGCTGTATCATTGCACCAACATCAGTACATCTATGTAATGCTTGAACCAGGGAAGTGGTGATGGTAGTTAAGATATTTTCCTAATCCAGAGGTCATCAATCCTTATTTTTGGACTAATAGCCATGACCCTTGTGCCTGATTGGCCTTACAGGAGACGAAAAGTGAAGGGCTGCTTTTTGGATAATTTGGAGAGTTTGTAGTACAGGGTAGAAATGGGAGTGGTTCACTTCCCAAAAGCCCTGTGCTCCCTTCCTAGCCTACTTTTCTGGTCTTAAAAGTTAAAAATGGCCATTTCACCACCAAATTATAGTGGCTGTACCCCAGAGTGCTTTCCAAGATCGCCAAAAGTGTGGGGTAAAAAAAAATGCACAACCTCCAGATTACCCAGCATTGTCATATTTTTAAGAAATTATATTCCCATATATAAGACATCCTAAATTTATTTAAAGAAAATGCAAAAGAGCTGTTCTTGGTATCTTTCTATAGTTCCAGTACTTGAAGTAAAAATTCTTTCTCAGATTAACGTCAGACACTTAATGGTAAAATTTATCAGTTAACCAACAAATGCCCCAAATTTACCAGACAGTAGTAAAATAAAACAGTTCTGCCTCAGGCCTGTGTCAGACATCTTAAAGGCATTCTTGAACTAATGTGGAACAAGACTTCTGCCTGCCACGCCTGGCTAGCTTTCAATGAGGCAGACATGGGTATTCATATTTCAAAGAATCATAGTCTAACACAGAGATTCTCTTTTTTCTGTTTGTTAAGAACAAAAGCGCAGAAAACTAACTTCTGCTTGTGATATCTCATGTGCTTAGATAGAGGAAGAGTACATTAACTCTGTTTACCAAACTTATTTATGAATAGGTAGACATACTACTTACTGGGCCCTGATTTCTCAGTCCAGCAGGTGATTAATAACCTAGTGGCTTTTTAAAGAGTGCATTTATTATTCAAATTAATGAAATTATAATCAAGATATGACAAATTAGCAATTGCTCCTTGACTGACTATGAAAACTCATTAGGCACATTTGTGGCATTTACCCATGTACAGTTTCATCTTAACAATCATATACAGGAGGTGAAGAGGGAGGGAGCGAGGTAGCCTTTGAAATGATTTTGCCTCATAAAACAAATCCTTATTTGCACATGATTTTTGCCATTTTTGGATTTTGTTTACTCTCTTTAAAGCACAGTGATTACCAGAAAATCACTAGTGCTATCTGGATTGTCCCACCCAAGGAGTTTATTTACACTCTTTCCAAACTAGACCCCAATAATAAACAATTACTGTCCCCAACCCAATCCAATCCAATCCAATGTAATCTTTCAATTAATATAAGAAAATATCTTCTTAAGAGGATTCTTATAGAAGTTGGAATCAGAAATGCAAAAATGAGGAAGCTGTATCACAGCTATGGGAAGCAGAGGATAAAGCAAATTAAGTTGGCTATAACCAGTGGTGGGATGCAAATATGTGAACAACCGGTTCTCTGTGTGGATGCCGCTTCCGGAAGTCCATTCTGGGCCTGGGCAACAAAAAATAGCTACCGTTCTGCTGAATTGGTGTGAACCGGCTGAATCTCACCACTGGCCATAACCATGCCTCTAAAAACGTACACATGTAAAAGTCTCCCAATCTTTGTAAATCTGAAAACACCAATATCAAGTTTCTATCTCTTATGGTACAGAAATAAATCTACGGTATCTGAAAAATAGTGTGGATGTTCTTCTAAAGCTGCCTTCCAAATCTCATATGTTGTATCACAACCTCCAGAATTTTCAGCACAATGGCCGCTGGTGGAGTTTTAGTTCAACATCTGCCCAGTATCAGATAGATGAAGTCTATTCTAAAGACTTAGAAAATGGATGCAATTTATACAAGTGCTGGTGTTCTGTGACACAGCTATCTGTAATTTGTCTTTCCATACAACATATTCCATCATTTCAGCTCTGCACTAGAGCTTGAAATGATGAAAAACAGAGATGAAAGAAACATATACACAGATCATGAGAGAGATGGAGATGTTGTCTTCAGGATTCAACTTTGATGTTGCTTTCCACATAGAAAAACAAAAAGTATTATTTGCCTGAACACAACTCCAGTGCCAAGAAATAAAACAACAATCCAAATTGACAATCACCCCTGTAAAACAAACCTGGCATATTGTACACTCGAGAGCATTATTTCCCTGTAATTTGCAATGAAAAGGCAATCCTTTTAAATCTCAGAGTGATTTTTCTCCATCCCAATGAGCAGCAGTCCTTCAAGGTTACTTACCAATGTGCTTTCCATACATGTGATAATAGAAGGAGACACAGAATCTGGCAGTCATGTTGTACATAGGGCTGATTAATCTAGCTTTGTCATCCTTCACTCGGGGTGCAGAAGCTTCAATGAACATGTAGTACCCTAGGGAGTGAGAAACCAAGATTAGGAAAGGTAACACATTGCCACAGTCCTTTTCATGTCAACAGTACGAAAAGTACCGGTAGTATGAAGAAAAGCAAGGATTTGACTCAGACCCTTTTGGGGGCACTAAAGTTTCATCTTTTCTCTGAAAGTGACAGAATTTGGACTTAGGTCACCTAATTTACTTGTTTATATCTACCTTTTCTCCAGGATGTCTAGCTGGTCTATGTGGAATGTAAGTGGGACTTACTGATCCAAATCATCTAGTGAGCTTTCATGGAAGGAGATGGGCTTGAAACTGGGCCTCCACGTATTAGTTTCTTTCTTCTACACTATTGCTCTTTGTTCTAATCCTACTGTCTTCTATTATTTCAATATTTTTTCAGGCTGTTCTGAGATGTTTGATGTTTCTTGGGAGCATAGCTTTGTGGCCAGTACTGTATGCTAATTTGTACTAGCCAAGCTTCCATAGAAAGACTGTCTCTCTACCATAAATCTTATATATGCTTATATGTATTGTAACCACCATGAAACATAGACAGAAAAGGGCTCTGGATATGAGGTACAGGGATAAGTTGACTAGCCTGAGCTTCCAAAATCAACTTAGCATCATGATTTATATTGTAACCTTTTCTGAGAAGTTGCATGGAAAAGCACAAGGTTCTGGAGGCTTCATTGGACTCCTGCTCCAGAAGTCAGACAGACGTTTTAGAATGTTTAAACTTTTCCCAATCCCGACTTGCTTCTTTCCTCTGTGCATGCATCAGTGCATGGAACAAGGACATTTGGCGGCAGTAATTAGCCAGTAACAAGGACTAATGTTCTCCTGATTCCTCTAAACAAAGCTGTGGGAGTTTTAATTGGTTATTTATGTGAATAAGAACATGCAAATTAGCTGCCTGCTCCTCATGTCCAATACAGATCAAGAGAGTCTGTGTGCATGTGCATGCACCTGAGTGTGTACATGAAGCTATGTTTTATATATTTTATTATATTTATATATTTTGTTATCATATCTTAAGATGAAGCATAATGTAGTAAATAATATAACATAGTATAGTAAACAATTTGTTCTTAGAAAAGATCTGGAAAAATCTAGGGGCAGAAGTTCTGTCTATCTTCTGCAAATTCTCAATATTGCAAACTATGCAAATTAAAGATTGAAGCTTTCAGATAGGAAAAAGGAAGGGGCAAACTGGTGGGTGATGGGAAAAACTAAGAACTGAACCGAAAGGTTTCATTCCCAACAAAAATTGCTAAATGTATTCCAGCTTTCAGCAAGGATACAAGAGACAGAAGTTTGTTGTGTGCTAGACAGACATTTTGGGGGTGTAGATTCAAAATACGTAGAAAGATAGCAGATGGACATTTGCATGAAACTAATGACAAATACCATTTTTTAAAGTACTTAAGAAGTGGGAACTTCCTCTTTCCTTTGTTAGAAGTGTTATTGGAGAGAAGGCAGGAATAGGAAAAAGCAAGGGGCGTAACTTTGAATTAGGAAGCTGGTGGCTTGCTCACCTTCGGGGGTCCCACTGAAATCCATGGTGGGGCCTGTGTTGGCAGTGCGCTTTGGATCATGGGTTAGACTGCTTTGACGAATCCAATCAAAGTTGTCTGTTGTGTCCTGAATATAACCACAGATCTTCTCATCTTCAAAGTGGCAGGTGTTACCTGTAGGCAGGTAAGGTGCCTAATAAGTAGATCATTCCAACATGATCTTGTCTGGTGGAGTATACAGGAGACAAAAAAATAACTTCCTTGTAATAATGATACTTCTACACTGAGAGAATAACACTAATTCATGGAACAAGTTGCATCTCCCATCCACTAACTGAAGCTAGTAAGAAGTTGCAAAAACTAATTAACAGCCCTGCCTTTTTCTTCAGCTTTTAAATAAATATGGGAGAGCGTAAAAATCTATACACTGAAAAATGTTGTGCCTGTTTATAGATGAGTTAACAAAGCACACTGTGATCATATTTTTGTGATGGATGGATCTAGACAACATGTGGAGTTGTTATATTTTTTAACATTTCCCCAATGACTTTCCAAGTACTTTAAAATGCTGCTGCTGGCCATGCACAAAAATATTCTATTCAATCTTCACCCACAACGAATAAAAAAGCAATGATCAGCATACACGCCTTGTTGCCAGCATTCTCACGTTTGGCTCCTCTGTAAATCTTCCATAATGAATCTATAAATGAACTTAGCAAACTAATTACAGATGTAAGGATGATCATACAGGCATGTTTATTCATTAATTTGTTTTCAATAACTTGTAATATTCTTCCTAAAGCCAAGAATATTACACACACTCCAGCTTTTTAACAGCTCAGATTATGGGGAAGCACACATACCTATGTTGGAGTCCAGCTCCACAATGTTTGGTGTTATCTAATCCAGTTTTGAATATTCATTGACCACTCACTGTTTATGAATTATGATCATAGAAGGGACTCAAAAGGGCTGGATCACCTTACACAAAACCGGGGGAAAGTCGACATGCTGAGCAAAATCAAAAGGAAAAAAAACCTGATGAAACTGTGATCAGCTTTGGGATAATGTTGAACTCCACTGATATGAAGGAGAAAGTCAGGATATGAAGTATAGCTGGAAGGAGCAAATGAAGTTGCTCTTTATATCTTTTGCTGTAGTTCCAAGCTACTATTTTAAGTTCCTTGTTTAGCTATTTTATAGACTATTAATTTGTGAATTAATCATATTATTTTACTGACAATTTCTGAACTTGGTTGGGATGATGATTTACAGGTATTTGCATAACCACACTTAGTAGAATAGAATAGAATAGAATAGAATAGAATAGAATAGAATAGAATAGAATAGAATAGAATAGAAGCTGATGGTCTTCTAGTCCAGCCTTTTGGGCACCAGGACCGGTTCCGTGGAGAAAAGTTTTTCCGTGGACCCGAGAGTGTGTGCGCTTGTGTGCTGCTTGTATCCCACGGATGGGGCTTTGCTTGTTTGTGCGGACTGGTTGCTGGCATGCTGTGGCCTGGTACCAGTCAATGGACCAAGGATTGGGGACCCCTGCTTTGGTGAATAACGTGACCCCCTCTTCTTTATGGCAGCCTCTCAAATACTGGAATACTGCTATCACGTCTCCCCTATTTCTTCTTTTCTTTAGACTAGCCAAACCCAAGTCCTGCAGCTGTTCTTCATATGTCTCCAGGCCTTGGATCATCTTAGTTGCTCTTCTCTGAATTTTTTCCAAACTCTCAACATCTTTTTTGTGATATGGTGACCAAAATTGGCTGCAGTATTCCAGGTGTGGTCTTCCTAGGGTTTTATAAAGTGGTTCTAATACCTCGTGTGATCTTGATTCTATGCCTCTGTTTATACAACCCAGGATTGTATTAGCTTTTTTGGCTGCTGCTGCACACTGCTGGCTCATGGTTAAGTGATAGTCCACTAGGACTATAACGTACCTCTCACAGTTACTGTTTTTAAGCCAGGTCTTGCCCAGTCTGTACTTGTACCTTTGATTTTTCCTGCCTAAGTGTAAAACTTTGCTTTTCTCCACAATGAAACTCAATTTTGTTGGCTACGGCCCATTGTTCAAGTTTGTCAAGATCTTTTTGGATCCTTAGTTGGTCTTCTGGGGTGTTGGCAACTCCTGCCAGTGTCATCTGCAAATTTGATGAGTTCCCCTTCAATTCCCTCATCTAAGTCATTGATGAAGATATTGAAGAGTAATGGGCCTAGGACGGAACCTTGTGGTATCCCACTGCTTACTTCTCTCCATGTGGATGTAGTGCCATTGAGGACTACTTGTTGAGTTCGGTTTGACAACCAGCTACAGATCCATCTGGTGATGATGTTGTCTATTCCACCTTCTTTTAGCTTACCAAGGAGTGGGTTGTGGTCTACAAGCTACAGTCAATATAATTTCGCAATGATTACCCATGTTCCTTTTATATATCACAGCTATGCTATTGCAACATATTTTATGGACTGTTATTCTTGAAGGCAATCCAGAATTTTAAATGTTACAAATGTTACAAATGTAATAATGCCAATCTAATTTAAAAACCCTATGTTGCTAGCCAATTGGTATTCAAGATTTTATCTGTCTAAAGGGCTTCCTATTTTGTATGAACCTATCATTCTGTTCTGTTCTGTTCTGAACTTGCCACATTATTAAAAACTGCAGGAGAAAGGGAATACCTTTTTACAGACTTACTTTTCTGTTAAATCAGAAATAGCTTTCTCTGATAACCACAAAAATGCACTTTTGAAGCTGTGATTGGTTCCACTGACTCCAGAAAGTGTCTTTTAAAAGTATTGTTTCAGCATTTTCCTTAAAAAAAGCTTTAATATAGATATTATTTTTTCTGAATTCTCAGATAACAACTCCATAATTCTCAGGAAGTTGGCACAAAAATACTTGAAGAAATAAACCCAATAGCCTAAGGTGTCATAATCTGAAAGGGGAAATAATGGCCGGCAAATGTCTTTACATTCGCTATACCCCATCAATCCAGGACTGGATGAAAAATCTAACTTGATACTCAAAAATAAGACAGTGGAAAGAAATGGAAATTGATCTTATATGGAACACATAAAGAAAGATAACCCAATAACAGAACAGCCCTGAATAAAAGGATCAGAACTTTAAAAAAGAAATGTCAAGACTGAAGGTGAGGTTAGTATTTTTTTTTCCTGGTCTCAAGCTTCTATGCATATCACATTTCCCTGCATTAGATTGTGTGTCAAGATCTTTTTAGGCTGTTGTGCAGATGTGTACACCTTTCCTCTTTCTTTGGCCTGCTTTTGGCCTCCTTCATTTTATTCCACTTCCACTTCTCTCAAGATAGAACAGGGCTTAGTTTTAAACTCAATAAAATGGGCATGCAGTGCATGCTCATTCAGCTCTGCTCTGGGCTGGATGTGAACAATCAGCTTAAAGTAATTTATTGGTTAGAACTGAAGGGCAACCACTGGTGAAAGTCTGCTGAGCACTTGCCCTGGAAGACCTCATGAAAACTCAGCTGGCTGGTGAAACTCCTGCCAGTGAAGTAAACACAGCAGCCAAAGGGAGCTTGGCTGGCCACTTAACCACTAATTAACCCTGACTAAGTGCTCTCTATGCGGTCCATTCAGTTCTAATTAGCATCCTAATCCAAATTAGTCACAGTTTTAATGCTGAGTGCTGGGGACTGCCCAGCTTCTGTAACTGAAGAAGAAGCAGAACATGCACACAGGAGATGTGAGACTAGGAAATCACAACAACAATCTGTTTAAGGTCCTGAGAGGCTGGGACAGAAGTGAGCTTTTAAACAGATCTTCCAATGCATTATTGGTATGAAAATGATTGAATCCCAATTGCAGCTATATGGATTAAGGTTGTGAGGAAGGCTTGGTCATTTCACCCAATCCCACCACATAACCTCAGCTACAGATGATTGCATTAATTTTGAATTTCTAAGAGGATAAACTATAATCCCAGTTCCTACAGTAACCCTGCCATTATAGGTTGATTTTTGTGAGCATTGTCAGATAAAAGCACTCTTCCTCATTCCCATTGCCTTCAGCAAAGCAGAATTTGTCACTACTTCTTTTGTGTTCATGTGTGGCACTAGAAAACGTCTTGGAGAAGCTAAGTAGGGTAAAGTCTAGTTAATATTTCCATAAGGTTTCCACAGGGTTGTAGGCTAGACTGCAGGCAAATGGCTTTGCTACTTCTCTCAAGAAAAATCTCCCCAGAAGCTTTGTTCAACTAGAAGACTTTAATTTGCATCTTCCACTTTAATTTCACTGATTTCAATTCTAAACTCAATTTATTGCCAATGCTAAACAAAACTAATATAAAAATTTGACTTTGCACAGAAGGAAAGGTAAAGACACTGCAGTGAAATGGAACCAAATTTGGGCATACTTGTTAAGTAATAAACTGTGTTATCAACAGAAAGTCTTAGATTCTTCCTAATCAGCATCCGGCCATGCAAGCACTAGGCTGCCATGAACAGAACAAATAGTCCTCTCTGTGAGGCCAGAAATAGAGGACACCCCACTGGGGGCCCTTTCTATCTTTTTTGAAACCCAACAATTTCTGCGATTTAATTTTTGCTTTTTTATTATAAGGGAGAAGAAGACATGAAAGCTCCCATTCATACCCACAACAGATCTGCTAAATAATTTATTTATCAATGCCAAAGCTGACAGCTTCTATTGTCTGTTGGCTATTTAGGTAAGCACAGACACTTTTCAATATACCTGTGTCTTTTAACTGATTATTTATACACTTTCCCTTTACTTCAAGCTGGTTTCCATCTTAAGGCTGGATCCTTAAGGCAGATTTTGTGGAATCTGTGCTTTATAGCAAGTGGTCTGGAATTAATTCATCTGCAAGCTCATCAATGGAGAAGATTAAAAAACATAGCACATAAAAGAATGTAAAAGGTTCAAACCACAAATCTATCTACATTCTGATTTTTTTTTCCTATGTGGGTCCACCAGATATGCAACAGCATTTTTTTTGTCATTTTCTACAATTATTTATATTTAAGACCATAAGGCAGCCAGCTCAGTCAAAGCATTCCTTTCACCATTTTCTTAGGACTTCTAGGCTACTACACAATATCTATTTAAAAACTCACAAGTAGAGCTAATTAAAAATTTAAGGAGTCAATAGAAAAAGGGTGTAATAA